TACTAACAGACTGTAAAGGCCACCTAGGAAGATGAAATTTGCACTTCCAAAAAACTGCAACTCACAAGCAGCTCGTGACTTGGGTCTAGGAACAATTTCTGCTAAGAAAAAGGCAAATCTGAGAAGAATTAGCATTGTTCACTAACACGTACGTCCCCTACACATATAAACATGCATCCAAACATCACCAGCCTCCAAGAAGACAGGAAGACACCAGATCATTTACATCCACTCTGTCGTAACTCAGAGAAGCATCTTGCATGATAAACAATTTCTCTACATGTATCACACAAGAGCACGTGGCATGGAATCCAGTGATCCCAGTTTTAGAAACCACGCCTGGACAAGATGCTCAACGTCACTCATCATCAGGGAAATACACATCAAAACTACAATGAGACACCACCTCGTTCCTGTCAGAGTGGCTAAAATTAACAACTCAGGAAACAACAGATGTTGGCCAGGATGTAGAGAAACAGGAACCCTCTTGCACTGTTGGTGGGAATGCAAACTGGTGCAGCCACTCTGGAAAAGTGAGAACGTTCTTCAAAAAATTAAACATAGAACTACCCTATGACCCAGCACTAGCACTACTAGGTATTTATACAAAGGACACAGGAATGTTGATCTATAGGGGCACATGCACCCCGATGTTTATAGCAGTACTATCAACAATAGCCAAAGTATGGAAAGAGCCCAAATTCCCATCAACTGATGAACGGATAAAGAAGATGTGGTTTATGTATACAATGGAATACTACTCGGCAAAGAGAAAGAATGAAATCTTGCCATTTGCAGCAACGTGGAAGGAACTGGAAGGTATTATGCTAAGTGAAATAAGATGTCAGAGGAAGACAGATATCTCATATGTGGAATTTGAGAAATGTAACAGAAGATCATGGGGGAAGGGAAGAGGAAGAAATAGTTTCAAACAGAGAGGGAGGCAAACCATAAGAGACTTTCTTTTTGTTTTGTTTTTTTTTTAATTTTTAAAAAATGTTTATTTATTTTTGAGAGAGAGAGAGAGACAGACAGACAGAGCACGAACAGGGGAGGGGCAGAGAGAGAGGGAGACACAGAATCCAAAGCAGGCTCCAGGCTCTGAGCTGTCAGCACAGAGCCCGACACGGGGCTGGAACCCACAAACCGTGAGATCATGACCTGAGGCGAAGCCGGAGGCTCAACCAACTGAGCCACCCAGGTGGCGTTCAAATACAGAGACTTTCAAATACAGAGAACAAACTGAAGGTTGATGGGGGGCAGGAGTGGGAGGAGAAAATGGGTGATGGCCATTGAGGAGGACACTCATTGGGATGAGCACGGGGTGTTGTATGTAAGCGATGATTCATGGGAATCTACCCCCCAAACCAAGAGCACACTGTATATACACTGTATGTTAGCTAACTTGACAAGAAATTATATATAGTAAAAGAAACAAAAAAGAAAAGAAACCAGGCCTGGAGAAGGAGCCAGAGATTTATGCATATATTTGCTTATGGAACCTTTTGAAGATAAGAAGAAGGAAACTGTCAAGCACTGAGGAGTCATCAGCAAGGGAAATGTTAAGTAAATCACAATACAGCCACTAGGTTACCTATAAAAGCCACACCTTGGAAAAAATTAACAACGTGCAAACGTGCACAATATAATATCAAGTGATTAAAAAGTAGACTATGAAATTTATTAATGGTGTGAACCCAAATCCAAATATGTTAAAATAACACACACACACACACACACACACACACACACACACACCTAGAAAAAGCCTGGTAGTCAATACATAAATGAGTTACTAGTGGATGGCAGAAAATACAACTTTAATTCTACTCTACAGGCCATCAAAATTTCTCTAGAACAGCTTTTATAATAATAATAATAATAATATTTAATTATGTAAATAAAGCACAAAGGAAGTCCCCATCACCAGGCTCTGAGCAACATTGGGCTGGGACTGACACCATGACGTGTTCCTGAATTGACAGAGACAAGTTCACTTCTCTTTTCTGAATCTCAGACAAGACTATATGCCCCCCTGGGTTGGGGTGAGATTTAGTGGAATAATTCAATTAAAATAACGTATTCTACATGCCAATGACAACTCTAGCACAAAGCAGGTAGGAAGAAATGCCAGCCGAATTTACATACTTACAGTGGAGGTACTCCCTGATCGGTCAAAAAGAAACCAGCCTGTTCCAGATGAGTATTTCTGTCGCTACTTCTCCGCCAGCACGGGGATATGACATCCACACTGCCGATCTGTAGTGCCCCCTCCATTCGGAAGGTGCTTCAAAATGCAGGAAACAACCCTCCCTTTGACGGATGCCAGGTGCGGGAAGCATTGAAGAGATGCTTCGTGGTAGTGGCGGCAACAAGACACACGGAGATGAAAATAACGCGAGACGTAATACAAGAATAAACGATCCGGCACCCGATTCGCGAGCAAATTATCACATTGGTGCCTCCAGAATAAATTTAGAGCGTATCATTAAAGCTGTGTTTTCGTGTCCCACAAGGACACAGACTAGGTTACCCTAAGACAAAAGCATCAATGCGTCAAATGCACATACAGGTGGTCGAGGGCAACGAGAAATACGCTTTCATTGTGTCCTACTCATATTTTAAATGAATGCATTTCTTGTTGTCTGGTGTTCTGTGATCACACAGGGCTGAGCTATTCATAGCCAGAATGCTACTTGGCCTTTCAGGGTTATTCTTCATTGTTTCCAGATAAAACCGTTAAGCTTCATACAGGAATGCAGCACAAGAGCCAAAGATCTGTGTCATGTATTTTTTAGAGTAAATCATTATCATCCAACCAGAAAAGCAACATAATGGAATATTTCAATTTTGTCAGGGAAAACCTGCAACAAACTTAGATAATCTTGACGATATAGGAGTTTAATATTTTTAATGCAAAAAAAAAAAAAAGTTAAGTAAAAGTTTACAAATGCTCACCTTAAATTCAAAATCAGCTTCTGTGTGAAGCCAAAACATGTAGGAAAGAATGATCTAGAATATTTTTGAAAATTTGCAGCTGGCTCAGGATGAAGAAGCAAGCAGGCCTCAGATCCTCCAGGCTGGGGATTTCCTCATGGGAAACAAAACAGAGATGTTGAAAGAAGGTAGGAGGCGGCCCATGATGTGGGATTTTTTTCTTCAGGCAAATCTGCTTTTCAGGCTGGTCTGAATCCCCCAAAGGATCCCAGGATCCACCTTGGTTGGATGGGTCTCATGACCCCTCATTAGACCATGATCAAGGATCAGTACTCATCCTTCAGCCTGCGGTGTCCCTACAACACAGCTGGCAGCTAAATACAAAACCGGGGTGTCAAGCTCCAGGGGGGCTAGACCTTGGACACTGTGGTTGACGCCTTCATCTGGGAGAGCTTGGGATGCCCTTCTGTCCGGGCAAACATTGACCCAGGGGGGTAGACTCAGATCGATGGCCCTTGCTGTCTGTTCCCAGAGTCATGAGACCACCAGAGAGGCAGTACCAGCCAGGAGCTCACGCAGCCCTCTCCTGGTGTCCTCCCACCTCCTGGCTGCCCTCCCTTCGTGTCTTTTACTGAAATCCCCTCTTGTTGACCACTCAGGTTGGTGCTGCTCAGGCCCAGTCCACATCTCTCTCTCCTGCACCTCCTCCCACTCCCTCCCCACCAGTCTAAAGACCACCTGCTTGGGGCGATGCCTCAGTCTGCCTCTCCAGCTCCAGCGGCTCCCCAGCTTCTTGGACTATATCCCACTGCCTACCCCACAAATGCATGGAAGTTTCTGGAAGGCATCCCTAACTTTTCATACTCAAAGCTAATAGTTTTCTCCTCCAAACTTGCTGCTTTCACTGGACTTCCTGTCTTGGCAGGTGGCACCACCATCCATCCACACAGTGGCGCAGACCTCGCATCTTAATTTCTCACTCGGCCTTGCAGTCCACGTGTCACTCAGATCCTGCCAGTTCTGTCTCCAAAACATCTCCTGCCCCTGCCCTCTCCACGCCAGCTCTCCTCCTTCTCCCCTCATCCGAGCCCACGGAACAGCACACGGAGCTCCGAGCCTTGAATCTGGACCCAGGCTTGAATCTTGGCTCCATCTCTTATTGGCCGAGGTAAAGCTCCGTGCCTCGGTTTCCCCAGCTGCAACATGGAGAAAAGACTATTTCCCATCCCCTAGGTTATGGAAGCGTTTGCACAAGGCCATCCAGGCGCATGGCCAGCACTGTCTCCAGGGGCCTTGGTCTGAAGCGGGCTTCCAGATGGGCCTGTTTCTTCCTGCCCTTCGCCGTCCACCCCCTGTGTGACAGCCAGGGTAAACCAACGTGAACCAGATCACACGGCTCCCTGCTTAACACCCTGTACTGGCTTCCACTTCTTACTGGAATCAAGTCCATACCCCTCGCTGGGGCCCGTGAACTTGGTCTCTCCGCACTGTCTCGGACCATCTGACTGCGTCTGCTGCGGGGCCTGCCTGGCTCACGACCCTCCCAGCACATTCTCCCTCCTTCGCGTGTTTTCCTGCCCACGCCAGCTGCATCCCCTCCTTGAAGCCTGTCCTTCTGTCTGTCCGAATGTTTCACCTGCGGTCTTCACGAGGCCGGCTTCTTCCTGCGTCCAGGCCTCTGCGTGGATGTCCTTTGCCCAGAGGGACGTGCCTGGACCCTGCTATCCTGTCCCCGTCCCCGGCACTGTCTCTACGTCTCTGCTGTGTGTTGTTGGGCTCAAACCCTCTCCCCTCCTTACAGCCTGCCGACTTTCCCCACTGACGGGAGGCTGCCCACTCCTCCTGTCATTTCTAGAAGTTCTCTGCCGAAGTCAGAGCCCCTCACCCAAACCACTCACTCCTGTTTCATTCCGGGCAGTAATATTTGCAGACACGGTGCATCCAGCCCAGGGCCTCTGGCTTGGCTCCCTGGCCCTTCCCTCCCGGGAGCTTCAGCCACCACCTGTCCTCCCTCCGTCCCTCCCCACCTTCCTTCTCGCCCACCCTTTCTCAGCTCCCTTCCTTGTGCGGTCGCTGCCATTTTTGTCTGCCTATATCCTCGACTCTCTTGCCCTCATGCTTTTTCACACTTGCTCAGCCACGCCACTGCTCTGAAATCCAGGCCTCTGCCAACTGGATGTAGCTGGGCCAAGACCACAGCACGTTGCCTGGTCTCACCTGGAATTCATGATGGACAGGCTCCAGTGGACCATAGTGATGTCAAACATGTGATGTGTCAACCGTGGTTCACTCTCTCTCCCATTTCTCCTCGGTGACTATTTCCCCAGCTTTTCCTCTCTCCTCAGGCACCCACAACCTCTTCTCCCCCTTTGCAGCTAGCGGCCTGGCCTTCTGCTTGACTGGGAAATTGCCCCCAACCACACCCCTCTTCCATCATGCATCTGGGTTTGCACATCCTGCCTCCCATCTACTCACTGTCAGCCGGTGGTCCTCAGACTGTGGTCCTGGAACGGCAGCATCAGGGTCCGCTGGGAACTTGGAAGAAATGCAAATCTACAGGTCACATCACAGGCCTAAAAACTCTGGGGTGGAGCCCCAAACTCTGTGTTTTAAATTTTTTTTTTCAACGTTTATTTATTTTTGGGACAGAGAGAGACAGAGCATGAACGGGGGAGGGGCAGAGAGAGAGGGAGACACAGAATCGGAAACAGGCTCCGGGCTCCGAGCCGTCAGCCCAGAGCCTGACGCGGGGCTCGAACCCACGGACCGCGAGATCGTGACCTGGCTGAAGTCGGACACTTAACTGACTGCACCACCCAGGCGCCCCCCAAACTCTGTGTTTTAACAAGCCTTTGGGTGAATTTGGAGGCACTTGCAAATTTGACAACTACTGCTAGAGATAGAGACACATTTCCATCAAAGGCCGACCTTCCTGCGTGCTTCGCCCCCCTGACCTACTCAAGGGCGTTGCTCCAGCAGAGATCAAGGCCAACCTATACCCCTCTGGAGCCCTGCTCCAGCCAGGCCACCTTCCTCTCTCGTATTCCCAACTCCATCCTTTCTATGAGTTCATTCCCATCCGCACTGAAACCTGATGTTAGTCATCTCATCTTACCCCCCACCCCCAAAAAAATCAATTGACCTCCAAGCAGGCATCGATGCTGCAGTCTGGAAGCAGAGCTTCTTCTCTGAAAAACCTCAGTGTCTGCTCTTAAGGCCTTCAACTGCTCAGACAAGGCCCACCCACTGTGTCAAGGGTAACTTCCTTCACTCAAGGTTAATCGATTTGACCACATCTACATCTAATCATATCTACAAAATCCTTCCTTCCTTTCTTTTATTTTTTTTTTTAAGTAGGCTTCATGCCCAGCATGGAGCCCGGCGAGGGGCTTGAACTCACAACCCTGAGATCAAGAGTTGAGCTGAGATCAAGAGTCAGACACTTAACCGACTGAGCCACCCAGGCGCCCCTACAAAATACCTTCATAGCAATACCTTGGGAGTATTCAATGAAAACTAACGATCATACCATCCATGTGCCATGACCCCCAAATTCATATTTTGCATCCAGGTCACTTTCCTGAACCCAGACTTGTGTATCCACCTGCCTGCTCATTACCTCCACTTGGATATCCAACACAAGGATCTCTTCGAGGCTGAATCTTACCGGCAGATTCCCTCTCATTTAGTGGCAACTCCATCCTTCCAGCCTTGTTCTTAAAGCCTGTGAGTCTCTCCTTCACGCCCCATAATCAAGTCCTGTGGGCTCTCCCTTCTTCCCTATGCCCTCCTCGGCTTCCACCTCTGCCCCCGACCTCGTCACCTCTCCCCCGATTACTGCAATAGCTTCTGAATCGGGGGCTCCCAATATGAACTCCTCCTCATGCGTAACCCAAGCTAAGCATCCCTTCGCTCTGGACCAGACTGCACCTCATGTGGAATCCAGAATAAGAGCCAAAGACCTCTGCGTGGCCCCCCAGACTTAACAGGAGCTGCCCCCTTTCCTCACTGACCCCACCGGCCTCTCCCCTCCACGTGAGCCACTCTGACCACACTGAGCCCTGGTGTTCCTTAAATACGGCAGGTGCACTCCAGGGCTCAGACCCCAGAGTGTTCCCTCGGCCGGGGACGTTCTTCTCCAGGTACCCACATGCTGACTCCCTGCCTCCTTCAAGTCTTTGCCTGAATGTCTTTTCTCACCAAGACTCCCTGAGCGTGTACGTCACCTAACCACATTCCAGCACAGCCCCCCACCGTCCTCACCCTGCTCTAACTTCTCCTGGGGTTCACGGCCGTCTCGGCACCGTGTGTACCCGTTACAGCCGCTGTGTGTCTAGCTCTTCCCCATAGAACGCAGACAGATGTCTCTCGGCTCTTGACACGATGTCTCCCCCATGCGCAGAAGGACACGAGCACATGTGGGCTGAGCGGGTCCTGTGTGACTGTGTCTTCTCCGCGCATTTAGTCCTGGTCTCTCTCTTGCACTTGGGCGTGAGCTCCTTGAGGACGAGCTGCCGTCCCTCTCACGCGGGCCCTCATACAGGCCCTGATGGCCGGCAGGCACCAATCTCTGTGGAGGCGTCAGGAGCTTGTCTTAGTCCATCCGTGCTGCGGTAACAAAACACTACAGCCCGCGGGGCTTACAAACAACTCACAGTCCTGGAGTCCGGATGCCCGAGATCGGGGCGCCAGCACAGTCCCGTGACGGCCCTCTTCTGAGTTGCAAATGTCTCACTGTGTCCTTACGTCACCCTTACAGAGGTGAGGGATCTTTCTAGGGCCTCTTTCATAAGGGCACCAATCCCATTCATGAGGCTCCACCCTCATGACCCAAGCACCTCTCAAAGGCCCCACTTCCTACCACCGTCACCTGTGGGGTCAGGGTTTCAGCACGGGAATTCCGGGGGGACGTAGGCATTCGGACAGTGGCATAGCTTCTCTGACCGACGGGGGTCTTCAGAGAGGAAAGGGGGGCCAGGTCCCACCACTTACACTATCCCATCACCCTCTTACCCCGGACACAGTGGGCTGGGCTTTGTTGGTTTCCGGAGGATTCCGAAATGAGCACTGTTTTCTTTTTTTTTTTTTTTTTAATTTTTTTTTCAACGTTTATTTATTTTTGGGACAGAGAGAGACAGAGCATGAACGGGGGAGGGGCAGAGAGAGAGGGAGACACAGAATCGGAAACAGGCTCCAGGCTCCGAGCCATCAGCCCAGAGCCTGACGCGGGGCTCGAACTCACGGACCGCGAGATCGTGACCTGGCTGAAGCCGGACGCTCAACCGACTGCGCCACCCAGGCGCCCCATGAGCATTGTTTCCAACAACACCAGTTGACAGAGGACCCCGGCCCTGCCTGTCCCCCTTCACCACCAAATGACCACAAGAAGCTGACTTCTCCCAGGCAGGCATTCTGCATCCCAGACGGAACGGGAGAAGGTCCCCCCAGCCTAGTAATGCCTGGCCTGAACACTCCGGCCTCGGACGAATCGGCGAAGCCACTCCGAGCCAAGCCAGGCATCACTTTAGAACTCCGGATCTATCCACCGCTCTGTCTCCAGTCACCGGGACCTTGGCTTTGTCACCCGTGCGCACATTCGCTGGAGACTCAACGTTCAGTGTGACAGAATTCACGTCGCCCTCATCCGTGACTTCCACACACGCTGAAAGGCAATTAGGGTTTTGCTCTCCCTTCTAATGCCGGAACTCAGTGTTGCATCGTCAAGGAAAAAGATTCCTGCTTAGAAAAACACGGCCTTTGGGGAAAAGAGGGAGAGATTCTTATCTGGGAACGAATGGGGCAAAAGGGCTAGCATTTTACAAGCTTCGATCAAAGCCAGGACGAGCTCTCCGAATGAGGACAGCTGGGGAGACAGGAACTTCCAAGCAAGGAGGTCACAGGCCCGGCTGGCTCTCTGGGGGGGCTGCTGGAGCTGACAGGCAGCAGGCGGTGGTATGGTTTGCAGACTGCTCGCTCTCTCTCTCTCTCTCCCCTGCTGGCTGCGCGGGGGGCCTGTCCGGTCCTCATCAAAATCGCTGCAGCCCCGCTGCCTTCTTGTCTGCGCCTGTTGGCTTCTCAGCACTTCATTAACTTTTAAATCCAGCCATTTAAATGCCCGCATTGGCCTAGCTCCCCTTTACCTAAAGGAATCATTAAGACACCGTGTCACTCCTCACACGCTTAAACCCTCTCACCCGGGCATCTGGAGAGGCAATCTTTTGTTGGCTCGTTTGTTTTCACCTCATCCAATGTATTTACTTTTTTATTTTTATTTTTTTATTTTTTATTTTTTTTTAATGTGAAATTTATCGTCACATCGGTTTCCATTCAACACCCAGTGCTCATCCCAACAGTGCTCATCCCAACAGGTGCCCTCCTCAATGATGACGCTGCTTTAACTCGGTGCCTATGAAGCAAAGCAGTAACGTCCACTGACCAAACCGGTTCTGGAAGCAGGAGCTGCTCCTAAGAGCCCTGGCCAGACTCGTTCCTTCCAGAACCAGATGGAAGCTCGGCTGCGGGGGGGGGGGGGGGGGGGGGGGGGGGGCCCCCCGCGCCCTTATGGGGACCCCTCCCCCCCCCCCCCCCCCCCAGAAAGTCCTTCCTCGTGTCTGACCGCACTCCTCAAGCCCATACCCTCTCCTTTGCACGAAGGCACTTCAAGTTACTGAATAACTGTTCAACCTGATTTCCTCTAGAATAAAAGTATTTTGTACCTTTTTAACGTTATAAGACGATTCCATTTTTTTTCCTCTTGGTTATTTCTACCCCTTTAAAATGTGAAGACCAACACCGTATGTTACCAGATCAAAAAGTCCAGAATATTGTTCAAAGACACGTAGCCAAGCGTGCTGCCTTGACTGCCTGCATTCAAATTCCCAGCTCTGTCTCCTACTGGCTCCGTGGCCTCGGGCCAGTGGCTTAGCCTGTCTGTGCTTCAGTTTTAAACATCTGTAAAATGAGGATGGTAACAGTATGTAGGGCATTCGCATATCATGAAGTTAAGTAAGTTAATACATGTAAGAATATAGGTAGTACTGTTTTGTGCCATAGAAGAGTCTACTATGAACATTAGTTCATATGAACATTTAATTTTCTATAAATAAATATAATTTTGAGTCTGAGCATCTATCCAAACAGGCTCGCTGGAAGCTTCCTTGCTCTGGTCTTCAGGGCTTGCTCTGGGGTGTCAGTGGGTCCAGGTCTGTCCACACAGATTCCTGCTCAGTCCCAAGACCTCTCGAAGGTCCGAGGCTCCTGTGCCGGCTTGGGCCTCCCTGCTCTGGCCGAGTTTCCCGAGAACCCACGTGCCAGGGCACACGTGCGACACCGTGGCCTGTGTGGTATCCTCAGCACCTAGCGTGAGGCTTGGAGAGAGCCCAGCACTCCACGCCCGCAAAGGAGAAATAAGGACACGGCCCGTGGGCGCAGCACAGGGTCGTAGCCGTGGGTTTAAGCGTCTGTGAAAAGGCCCGAACCCCAGATCTCCAGCCTGCCCTCGAGAAGCCGACGGGAGCGGCCAGGTCGGGTTTACTCGACAAGGTCAGTTTACAGGATACAAAATGCAGTCGTACTTTCAGAGTAGATGTAAAACTCCATCTTGGATACTGTAGCCGCCGCTTTCATGACATGGAAATATCTTGTTACACAAAAAAGTCAGGTTATAAAACACCATCAAGAATTGTGTCTATATTCAGTTCCCAGGACTGTGGTAACAAGGTGTCACAACGGTGTGATTTAGAACAGCGGAAGTTCATTCTTTCACAGTCCTGGAGGCCAGAAGTCCAAGATCAAGGTGTGGGCAGGGCCAAGGCCAAACTCCCTCTGAAGGCGCTGGGGGAGGGTCCTTCCTGCCCCTTCCAGCTCCTGGTGGTTCCAGTGACTGCCATTCCCTTGCTGTCCCAGCATCACGTCTGTCCTCGTCTTCATGCGGTGCCTCTTTGTGAGCATCTGTCTTCACGTGGGGACGTGTCACATTAACTAATTACATCGGCAATGACCTTATGTCCAAATAAGGTCACGGACGGGCGTACTGGAGGTTAGGACTTCAATGTATCTTTTTTGGGAGATATAATTCAGCCCATGACAGCCTCTCGTGTTGAATTAAAGAGCCTACATCTCGGGGTGCCCGGGGGGGCTCCGTCGGTTGAGAGTCCGACTTCGGCTCAGGTCATGATCTCTGGGTGGGTGAGTTTCGAGCCCCGTGTCGGGCTCTGTGCTGACAGCTCAGGGCCTGGAGCCCGTTCCGGATTCTGTGTCTCCCTCTCTCTCTGCCCCTCCCCACACTCACTCTCCCTCTCTCTAAAATAAATAAACATTAAAAAAGAGTTAAAAAAAGAGCTACATCTTTTTCAACAATGACAAATGACTACATCTCTTTCTGGAAAACCACACACACACACACACACACACACACACACACTTTTACCTGAAAGAGAGCTTATCCTGCCCACCGTTGTCACCCTCCCTAACACCTCGTGTTGAGTTCTCCCCTCCCCCCACCCCACCAGGCCAGCTAAGCTGAGGCCTGGAAGTGGGTGTCTGTCTATCTGCCTCTACTTACTGGTTCCGGCACACATCTTCACAGGCATTTATTCATTATGTGAACGCCCATCTCCACACAGTTTTGTCACTGTTTAAAAAACAAACAAAAAGAGTATTTTCTATGCCTTTTCTGAATCTTACTTTTCTCACACAGTAACATCCGGCAGAAGTTATCCAAGCTACCCAATAAGCCTCCAAATCACTATTTTTAAAAAATTTTTTTTTCAACGTTTATTTATTTTTGGGACAGAGAGAGACAGAGCATGAACAGGGGAGGGGCAGAGAGAGAGGGAGACACAGAATCGGAAACAGGCTCCAGGCTCTGAGCCATCAGCCCAGAGCATGACGCGGGGCTCGAACTCACAGACCGCGAGATCGTGACCTGGCTGAAGTCGGACGCTTAACTGACTGCGCCACCCAGGCGCCCCCAAATCACTATTTTTAATGGTTATATAATACATTCTGCAGTTTGGGCATTAGCTGAAAATTAACAGTGGCTATCTTCAGATACTTGGAGACAGGAGCTCTCGTCCATCATCCTTGTTTATGTGGGGCTAGCATGCAACCTGAGATACGATGGCTGTTCAATAAGCATGCGTGTCTCTGCCTTGTGAGTGAAGCATTTTCCAGAAACTCCAACTCCAGTAGAACTGGTATCACACACATAATCTTATTGCTGCTTAAAAAGGACACTGACACAGGGCGCCTGGACGGCTCAGTTGGTTGAGCGTCTGACTCTTGATTTCAGTTCAGGTCACGATCTCAGGGTCGTTGAGCTCCACGCTGAAGCTAGAACCTGCTTAAGATTCCCTCTCTCCCTCTGCCCCTCTCCTCTGCTTGCGCTCTCTTTCTCTCTCCAAAATAAAAACAAAAATGAAGAAGCAGAAAAAGCCCAACACTGACATTTTCGGGTCCCAGAGACTAATGGTCAACATTCTACATAAGTCACCATAGCAGCCTGACAGCATTAAATGCTTCTATAGCCAAGGACAGGGCTCTGAGGGGTGAGCACTAACCCACGTAGCTTGCTGGTCACATTCAGAATTCCAACCCTGATCTATAGCTCTCCCAAGACCATCTCTCTCCTCCACATCTGTTTTCATAAGAGAAATAGCGTCTCTTTTGCTAGAATTCACTTGGAAAGCCTAGATGTGGTTGTTCCCGAACCCAGTCTCCGAAGTCTCACGACCATTAAAAATAAACAACGTGATGAAACAGACCGAAGATTTACAGAATTTTAGCAACCCAGAGAACTGGTCTAACTCTCCTTTGCTTATTTAAAATTGGCGACTTGGCTTTCGAGTCAGATGTGTCACACAGGAATGTCTAATTTCTTTTTGTCAATGTTTGTTTACTTATTTTCAGAGAAAGACAGAAAGCGTGAGCAGGGGAGGGGTAGAGAGAGAGGGAGAGAAAGAATCTTAAGTAGGCTCCGTGCTCAGTGCAGAGCTGGACAGGGGCTCCATCCCACGACCTTGAGATCATGACCTGAGCCGAAATCAAGACTCAGACACTCAACCGACTGAGCCACCCAGGCACCCCAAAAGTCTAATTTCTAAGGACACAAGAGAAACGACTCACACATGGCAGGCAGTAAATCATCAGGAGGTGAGTGGTAAGAGAGACAGAAGCCTGGGATTTCGGGCACTGAACCGGGGGAGGACAGCGGTGGCCTATGAAATTATACCAGGACTCCGCCACTTCTAGGAGTGCATTTTCTAGAAAGATTATTGGGAGCCTTTGACAAAAACACCCATATGAAAGTATACTGCAGTGTATGTTTCTTTAATTGTCAATCAATTTAGCGTGACCGTGATGGTGCACAGAGTGACCAGGGAGAATCACAATGAGGAAGGGATGTGAATTTCAAAGGTAATTAAGTGGTGCCTAGAATTTACGTTTCTTACCCTCCTCAGATAGCGGACGGTAACGTGGTTCTGAGCCTGGGCTAAACACTGTAACCGCCTGGGAAGTTATAAGAGTACCGAAGCCTGCATCTTGACCACTTGGTACTGAACACACTGAGCATTAAGCATCTCTAAAGCTCTGCATGTGACTTGGAGTTGGCAGGGGCTGAGACCCACATCGCTAGAAGATTCAATTGCAAGGGATTAAAACTGCTAAAACTTAGAAGGGCTGTCTGTGCAATAAGATGAAATTGAGAATGAGAAGTAATTTCCTTATGTGGCAACACAGCCTTCTATGGGCTGTTCTCAGCCCTGATCTTCAGCCTTCTCTCTGATTCTTCCCTGTACTTTCCTGCTGCAGAACCGAACTTTCCCCCACATACACCACATGTTTCTCCTCTGTTGCTTTGCTGATGCCTTCCCTCTTCCAGGAAACGCTCCCTAAATGACTCTTGCTGATTCTTGGCAATTCAACCTTAAAAGGCCCATCCCAGTGAAGCTTCCCTATGATCCCCTAAGGTGTGGACCCACTGGATTGCATTTAATGATCTGTTTCGGTGCCTGTGTCTCCACCGGACTTCAGCAAACACCATAAAAGCAGACTGCCCCATTCATTTTGGGTTCCCATCACCTAGGCCAGTCGCTGGAAATCACAGACGGCAAATGAGTAGGAGGTGAAGTCAGGAAGCAGGACGGCGTTACGCAGCATGTATCAGTTACTCATTTATTATAATCTTGAGAAATGTACAGTCTTGGCAGGCATATACACATGCAAGAGAAAATTTGCTCTGTCGATGACAGCCCCCAAAAGCTTAAAAAAGAACACTGTGGGGAAAAGGGGCAATGGAGAATTAGTCGCGTCTTATACGGCGTTTCTAAATGTTTCCTGGGGCGCCTGGGTGGCTCAGTCGGTTGAGCGGCCGACTTCGGCTCGGGTCATGATCTCGCAGTCTGTGAGTTCGAGCCCCACGTCGGGCTCTGTGCTGACGGCTCAGAGCCTGGAGCCTGTTTCCGATTCTGTGTCTCCCTCTCTCTGACCCTCTTCCATTCATACTCTGTCTCTCTCTGTCTCAAAAATAAATAAACGTTAAAAAAAATTAAAAAAAAATAAATTTAAATGTTTCCATTTTTCCTCTTTGCCCTCATTGTAAGAAGCCAAGTAACCTAAAGGTAGCCTAGTAGCCACATTATTTTTCTGCAGCCTGATGGAAACAGAAGATACTCAGTTTCTACAAGTGGTCCTACAGAAGAAACCCTTCCCTCTGGGAGATTACACGGCCCCGTAACACATCGCTGCAAACGTTTGCTGCCCACCCTAATCAATTTCTTGCAAACTCAGTAGCCAAATGGCAGTGACACTTCAGAAATACCAGAACCTGGTAATTTATTCCTTGACTGTCTTCCCAGACAATTAAGGACCTAGCATCTCCTGTGTGCTAAGCAATCCTGGGGCTACTCTTTCCAGCAACTTCCACAAGAGACGCTGTCAGAACTCCTTACAAACAATCAAGTCTGAAAGAGGCCCCTGGAGAGTGTCTGCACTTGAGCAAATGGTGCTGTTGCCAAAGCAGGGAGCAAACTTCTCCCGCCATGTGCAGCCCACGTTGTTAAAGATGGAGTTCTCGTCCAGGGTTTCTTGCAATCGTGCGGCCCTCTGCATTAGACTCTGCAGAATGACAGCAATTTGACCAAGAGTGCCTGGATGGCAGATGTTTTATGTACACTGTCAAGTTTAATGTGGTACAATCCAGGCGATTCTGCCCTGCCGGGCGTGTGGCAAGCGTGCGGAGGGCTGTCGACAGCCACATAGGGTGAGGAGGTGGCAGAATCGCGGGGTGATCAGCATTCAAAGGGAGCTAAGAGACCATCTCGTTCAGCCTCTTCATATTGCAGAGGAACTAAGATAGACCAGAGAGCACAATGGTTTCTTGTTGAAGAAACATACGGAGAGGTACATGCATGCCCGATCCAAATGTGGGGCTTGAACCGGAGTCTTCTGCCTGCCTAATCTAAACTGGCTACTTGCACTGTCCAGACACACCTGCTGATTTTCAGAACTTCATTTGACTCTTCACCCTGCAGGCTGCTTAAGGATGACCGATTGTATCAACTTGAGCAAGTGACGCTGAAGCTGTACAAATGGTCCGTATCTAGTCACTCCCACTCCGCATCCCTAATATGGCTCAAAGCCACCGAGTAATCCCTGCTGACATCCAGTTATGTTGTTGTCGCTCACCGAGTCTGGCCGACCCTTATCTTTGACCTAAAAATCCTTCAGAGTTAGTTCTTGGAATTTAAAGAGTTTCCAACAGGTATGGAGAGAAGCACTTCTATTAAGATCTTTGTCTCTTTAAAAAAAAAAAAAAAAGGAATAAAGGAGGAGATAGAAGCCAAAAGGAAACGTAATTATAGTTCTATTTGTCTTGCCTTGCGTCTCTGAGGGAAATGTGAATCTTTTGTACGAGTGGGTTAATTTCAGCTGAACGTCATTCAACTCATTCAAAGCTGGTAGGGTACTTTAGAGAAGAACAGAGTGGAAATTATAAGTAAAAAATAAAAATATTTTGCGTTCTAAAACTAGGATAAATTTTTCTGTAAGTTTTCTTCATCAAATAGAGACAAAATGAAGAAGAAAAGAAAAATAGAAGTGTGGCCTCATTAATTATTGCTTGTCCAACCCATGCATAAGGGCCATGGTGTGGACACCACATGCATATACACACACACCTGTGTACCCTAAATCTCAATGTCTTATATGTATCATGATTTCATGATAATAACCTCTGTCCCCTCCTCCTCTAAAGTAAATAGAACAAAAACATGTTGGCAGACACAACTCTTCTGCCCAACTCCTCCCATCATCCCCATAACGTACCTACCATCTCAAAAGAGTTGCCATCCATTTACAGTATCATGTTATCTGAAAACAATGAGAGTTTTACTTCTTCATTCCTATTTGGATGCCTTTTATTTCTTTCAGTTGTCTGATTGCTGCAGCTAGGGCTTCCAGTACTATGTTGAATAAAATGGTGAGAGTGGACATCACTTTTGTGTTCCTAACCTTAGGGGAAAAGCGCTCCTAAAACCCTAAAGACTCCAACCAAAAACTTCTAGAACTGATCATGAATTCAGTAAAGCTGAAGGATACAAGATCAATGTACAGAAATCTCTTGCATTTCTA